AGGCAGATGACCCCACACGTACCCGCTGCAGGGTTCTTCCGCTGGGAGCTACGGGGCGAGATGGACCCTGGCTCTGAGCTGCTCTAGCAGCTGCTGTGTGACTGCACAGCTGGGGAAACCGAGGCACAGCCAAGTCACCTGCCCAAGGTCTCCGGGGGCCAAGTCAGCCCTAGAACCCTGCTTCCCCCTCCCAGGCACCCCGCACCACCTCTCCCTGGCCGTGCTAACGCACTGCCTCTGCGGCACCGAGCCGTCTCCGTGCCACTTACAGCCCGTTAATGGGGTGGAGCTTCCGGCCCAGGCCCCGTGAACACCCGGCTGCACCAACAACCCAGAGTGCGTCAGCGCAGCACAGCCCCAGGGCAGGAGCAGCCGGAGGGGAGAGGGGTTCGCTGAGCTCTGCGGCGTGGGGGCGCACACAGGCTCTCAGCCAGCCAGGGAAGGCCGCTGGTGGTAGCGTCGCCTCGGGACCCGCTTGCACACTGAGCTGAAGAGGGGTTGGCTGGTCAATAGCGGGCGGAGCTGTGGCTTGCAGAGGACTCTGCCCTGTATTACTTTACACCCCAGAGGTGATCGGGGGCCCAACATGCTGGGTGCTGCTCCCAGGGGCTCCCACTAGCATCCCCACATACAAAGGCAGATGGGCACTGCCAGGCCTGGGCGCTGGAGAAGACAAGCGCACCAGGGGGATCTAGGCACTGGGTCACGGCCAGGCAAGTCGCCATTGTCAATTAGCCAGTCCCCACGCCCCGAGTCGGTAGCACGACCTATCAAGGTTTTCTGACCTTTCCCATTACAAGACCCTGTTTTCGTTGCTTAGAACTTGGCTACGCTTTAACCGCTCGAGCTGAAATTTCCCATGCCCGGCATCTGCTGCCTGCTGAATTCTCCTGGGAATTTCGGCCAAAGCTCTCCAGCCACTCCGAGCAAGGAGAAGGGGAGCAGGAGCCATGGGCCACCTCCTGGAGAGCCCAGTCAAAGGGGATCGAGGCCTCACTCCCTCAGCTCCTGGCGAAGCCGCCAACAACCCCCGAAGGGTTTTGTGTAAACCCCTTTGCAACCCCCTCCCCCAGACACAAATCGTGATCCAAAGCTTCCTTTGGGGTCTGCAGCAGCAGGACACACCCGCCCTCGCCTCTCCAGCAGCGCTTGGCCTCCAGCACCCCCCAAAACGCAAGGCCCACCCCAGCCTGCATCTAAGGCAAAACCTTCCTGTCCACCACTGCCGTTGGGCTGGGCTGGGCTGGCAGGACCCGCCCAAGTGCCCGCACTCCACCAATGGACGAGGCAGCTCAGATTTCGCTCTCGCGTGCAGGGGAACAGGCGTCACTAGAGCAGTGACCAAGGGTCTCACTTTCAGCCGGACGCCTGCAGCCCACCATACTCAAGGGACTGGACGGTCCCTACAGAGCCACCTGGTGGCCAGTGTCAGGCGGAGCAGGTCCCCGTTTACAGGGGCTCAAGCCAGTTACTCTTACACCAATACACCCCCAAGACAGGCGGTGCTGCGCTCACCTTCGCAGGGGTGCACCAAGGACTAGCCAGGGGCACAGTCAGCCCCCCCGACTGTTCTTAGCAGTGAGACTTGCACAGAAAAATCTTGGAAAATGGGACCTAGACGGAGCAGCACCTTCCTGAGTTTGCAGAGAGCCTGAAGCAATCGCTGGAGGGTCATTCCACTGGGCGCGGTCTCAGATGCTGGAGAAGATCCGTTCAGGGCCAGCACTGTTAACTAGTTCTCTGCTCCCACAGGGAAAGCACCACGTTCCAGAAAGCTACACAACCTACTCTGAGTAGCCCTGCATTCTGGGTAGGCCGTTACCACACCGTGGGGCTGACGGGGGGAGGATGGGCGTGTTCTCCTGAGAGAGGGGCGCGCCTCAGCTTTCTCGGCTTTCCCTCCAGCACGCAGAGCACGCACTCTCCGGGGAAGCCAGCGAGACTCTGTGGGGGCCTGAAGGCAGCTTGGCTCGAAGAAGGAAAAACAAAATCCCAGACGCCGAGGTCACTACTGCAATTTTATTATTGTGTCATTTTTAAAAATCAGAGGAGTGAGTGAGTGGCTGGAACACAGAACACTGAGGACCTGGGACTCCTACGGGGCTGGGGAAACAGCCGTGGGGTGCTAGCCCCGCCCACCCCCTCCCTATGACACCCCCAGCCCCCCCCCCCCAAGAAAATAATAAAAAAGGAGAGAGGTATGTGAAAAGTTGTCGAGTTTCTAACCTCGATAGCTGGGAAAATTGTTCTTAAAAACCAGGCAGCACCCAACAAAAAACCCAGCCGGGCCCAACGAGGTCACCACAGCTCGCAGGATTCATTCACCTGCGCGCATTGAGTCCAGTTCAGAGTCTCCCTCCCGGGCCCCCCCCTTACAAATCCAGCTCCAGGTCCTCCAGCTCTTCCTCCAACGCCTTCCGCCGCGCCAGCTTCTCCAGCTGCTCTCTCGTCGGCTGCTTGATCTCCCCAGAGTCCAGCCGCTGCTGCAGCTCCTCCACCTGCCGCAGCTTCTTTTTCAGGTTTTTCAGCTTCTTGGTTTTCTCAGAGGCTGAGGAGTCCCCGTCCCCCAGGGCCGTTCCGCCGCAGGCCTGCTGCTGCTGCAGGGCCGACTTACCATCCCCCGGGGGGCCCCTGTCCCTGCTGCTGCCCCCCAAGAGGGTGGCCTTTTCCAGGGACTGGATCAGTTCGTCTGTCTCCCTCTCCCCTTTCTCCTGCTGCTGCTTCCTCTTCTCCTTACGTTTCAAGTTCCTCTTGGCCGTCTTGGACAGGCCGGGCTCGCCGCACTCCGCCTTGGTGGCCTGCTTGCCTGGCTGCGCGTTGGCCTCGGGGCTCAGACCGGGGGGCAGGTCTGGTTTGCTTTTGAAAAACTTCACATACTTATTCTCATACCTGCACAGAACAAAATCCATCAGGACTTTCCTCTCCCACGCACAAAGAACAGGAGCCAGCCAGCTGGTCCATGCGGCGGCCATCAGCTCCAACGCGCTCTAACCCCACTGCACACACCCAGCGCCCCAAGGCCTTGCCGCTGCAGATCCAGCCCACCACAGGAGGTGCTGAGAACCCACTGGCCCAATCACCACCCAATGAGTCATGAATGCTCAGCCCCTCCCATCAGGCCCCCCAGAACAGCGGCATCACTGAGGGACAACTCCAAAGGGCAAAGGAATCACAGCACTTGGCCGCCACCCTCAGGGCGGGAGACGACGCCCAGGACCAGAGGAGTGAGCCTCCATGAAACAGACACACCTCGAACATTTCCGGATTTGAGCAGTTTGCGAGTACCTGAGCTCTATGCCTGAGACTAGCAATGCCGGCCGGCAGAGGTTACCCTCGCAGGCAGGACACATCCGGAGCCCTGCCGAAGCCGCCCACCAGAATGATTTATAAGGGGAGTTAATACATACCGCCAGGTTACATCTTATGGTATAAGAGGGGTCAAAGTTGGTCGGGCACCTGGAAAAAGACTCAGATCTCACGATGTAACCCAACAGTACATACACATGGTTATAAATCATTACAGCCGAGGGGGCGCTGGGCTGGGGGGGGATCTTAAAGGGGCTTGACTGGGAAACGTGGGACAGCCTCTCCATTGCACCCTTCCTGACAGATGTGGCCCAATGGGAGACAGGCGGTTTGCTGCACCATGGCCCCTCTTGGATCGACTCGCGCTGGGCCAGCGAGAGGATATCTGGTGCGTAAGAACTGCACACGCGCACGCCAGCCCGAAGTGCAGCGCTCGGCACTAGCACGCTGAAAACACTTAGAGGGAGTCCCGGCGTTGGGAATCTCGCCGAGGCAGGGCAAGGCCTCGGGAGACGGGGCAGGGAGGCCATCTTTAGTATTCCCCAAAGGGTTTGGAGACGGCAGGTTCGACTCCAACGAACGACCACATTCCCAAAACTTCATGGCCCAATCTGGAAGCCTAGAAAGTTGACAGCCGATTGGCCTTAGGTTCTAGCGAGGAGAGGGAGCCACATCCCATATGTGAGAGTCGATGAGCCCCCATGGGGGCCGACGTAGATCGACAGCGGCACGCTGAGCCCAACCCCCATTCCAGCTCACTAGTGACCCTTCTGTGGACATGGGAATTCTGAAGCCAAGCCAGATGCCCCGGGAGCTCCCTGAACATGCTCTGCCGTGGGAGAAGAGCTGGGATCAGTACTCCAGGGCTGACGGGAATGCCTGGCTTGCATTAGGGATTCAGAGATTTAAAGCCAGAAGACACCCTTGGGATCACCTAGTCTGGTTCGGTGGAGCACTGAAGAACGTGTTTCCAACTCGGCCACAAAGCCTCCCACGGATCCTTTGGGGAAAGCAACCCCAAGCGATGAGCAGGCCCCAAACGTACAATTGTCTGGCTCGTCACGCTGCACCCAGCTAAGAGGTGGACCAGGAGAGGACTAACGATTGTAAGATGGGCCGTTACCCTGAAAGAGGGAAGAGGTCCCAGGCCTATATGCAAAAATGGTAGCAGTTTAACCTATCCCTGGGCAAATCCATGGGGACCGTTATTTCAGTGAGCGTGGCTTTCTTCAGGTTAGCTTATGGCCTTTAAGAACAGTTTTAAGCTAAACCAAAAGAAACCGCCCCGAATCCAAAAGAGCGCGCACACAACAATTCGCACCAGCTTAAAATCACACCTTAAGTGAAACCAGCGCCGCTTCCTCGGGTAGCCCAGCTCTGCGGAGCAGGCCACCTGTTCACTGAATAGGCCGAAGCGCCCGGCACACACTCGTTGCCGTAGAAGCAGATAATCTCACAGCCGTCGAGGTTTTCAGATGCAAGGAGTTGGACTGCGTAACAGCCCCCCCACTACGGGCCATGCAAGAGATCCCAGAGGCCCTCCCCTGCTCTCTGGAGGACTAGAATTCAACTTACACCGGCACTTCTTCTTGGGGCACGTATCCCTCCTTCACCTTTCTCTGCTTCCTCCAGGTCCCGTCAGGGCGCTGCGTGGAGGCAATGTACTTCCCTGAAACGTTACAAGCATCTTTGTCTGTGATGGGATATTTTAAAGAGGGGGAAGGGAAAAAGTGATTTCAATATTCACCTAAAGGCTGCTCAGTAAGACCCGGCCAGCTAAGAACCCCAGTCCAATAAGAGATGTCACCTCCCCCACCACGTCTCTCCGGCAACTTTCAGAAAAACTGACAACCAGCTTCACGCTGCCCCGGTCAGTACTGGACCCTCCGATGGGGAAACCGAGGCACGGAGCAGGGAAGGGAATTATGCCGGAGGTCACCCAACGAGTCAGGTCTCCGATGGGTCAGTGTGACTGTACCGGTGCCGTCTCCTACCGCAGAGAAACTGGGGTTCGCTACCCCCAGGGCCTGCCCCGTGGCCCCCCCACCAGCCCAGCCCCCCCCAGGCCACAGTCAGGATGGGGCTTCTCTGGCGGGGCCCGCAGGGGACGGGGAGGAAACAGCCCCACGCGATCCGGAGTGAGACTGAAGGGGGGACACGAGGTTAAGGAGTTGGGGGGGGCACAGACACGTGACTGGTTAAGGGGTCAGGAGCTGGGGAGATAAGGGCCGTGGGGGGGACAGG